TGGGGGTTTAATGTTAGGTCACATCCCCTTCATGAAATCTTTACATCAAGACACACCATCTACAATTTGTACAATTGGTTAATGCACAAGTAAATTTGTAAGTACCCTATGGATTTTACCCAAATCCAACACTTTTCCCTTTTATAAAGACCCTCACCCATCACACCCCCCACCCCTCATTGGTCCAATCACTTGTGTTTCTTTCACCATCTCTTCTTGTTTTCATGAGAATGGAAACCATTTGTTTTCTTGAGAGAATCTTGGTTCCTTTCTCCTTTTGGCAACTCCATCTTTCTTGGGGGGGTTTGGGGTTTAGAAATCACTTGGTTTGTTGTTACAAGTTAAACCCACTCTTTCATTAAGCCATACTCTTCTTATTAAGCACTTTTTTAAAGGAAAACGATGGTCGGTTTATGATAAAAGTAAGATCTGTCGAGATACTTGTGGTTGGTTTCGTGAGGTGGGATGAGGGATCCAGTTGAGATGATGAACGGGTACATGTTCGTTTTTCATCTGAAACCTTGCATGTGGGAACAAGGTTCATTTGGTTCAGCCAAGGATGACTTGCCGGGGACCTACAGGATTCTTTGGTTGTTAATTAATAGGTCGGCTGGCAAGTCGTTTTTCGGCTAAACTACTGCCTTGTTCTCTCATGCTAGGTTTCTGATGACATTTATAATACATGTCATAAAATCCACATTATGTTGACGGTATCTAGTCCATGGTGATAATATCTTGAAGATAATATCTTGACTTTCCAATTACATACATATACGGGGCTGGGTTCATGTTCGACAAGGTTGTTTTTGTGCGATACGTGAGACACGATTTTTACACTTGAAACTTCACAACAAAATGTTGTGAAGGTAAAAAAAAACCAAATATTCATAGCAAAAACACTGTGAAGGTTACCTTTCACAGTGTTTTGCTGTAAAGTTTTAAATATAAAAATCGTGTCTTACGAAAACAGTCTTGTCTCACATGATCACAGGTCTACATATATGTGTATATATATACTTAATTTTTTTTTTTGTCTTTTATAATTTTTTAAATAAGTTGATAAAAACTGTTGGATAACAACTTTTTAATAAAGAGTTAATTTCTGTTTCGTTCAAATAAATAATTTATCGTTAATATTTCAAATAGTTGGCGTAGGGGTTTTTGTGTTATTTTTGTGTATAAATTGTTTAGAAAAAAAGTTTATGATTTATTATAAAATTATCATATCATTATCGACAACGGAGACATTAACATAAAAAGTCTTCCATGATTTCAATAACATTCAAAAGATAAAAATATAAGATATCCAGAAGTTGTTGAAAAATACTGATATAGTTTTATTTATTCTAATTTTTATAATTAATTTGGAATCTCAGAAACATTCTCACCATTTTTGTAAAATCAGATTATTCTGGTTTGAGAGTTAAGATGAGAAACGTAAGAAACGATTTCCACCGTTGGATGCACATTAAAATGAGATCCACCGGAATGCACCAGGATCAATCCCCATATCAACCATGATTCATGACTGGTTTTAAGACTAAAGGTGATCAATGATCCTGATCCTTCGCACACACATACATACATACATAGATGAGACTTACTTTGCAAACCACGTTATTTGTACAAACCGTACAAACCTCATTCAATCAATTATAATTTTTTATTTTGTTCATTTTTTCTGTAATTATGATAGGTTGATTAATCATTTTTATTATGGAGGGTCATCATCATATATATTATCATCTTCATTATATTAATTTTAAAGAAATACATGAAACAATTTCACAAAAATTTCATAAGTATTATTTTAAACAACTTCATCAAAAAAAAGTATTATATGAAACAATTTCATAAGATTAAACAATTTCATAATTTTTTTTTCATAAGATTAAACAACAAAATCGACGGATAAAAGTGGTTTGCACGATTTGTACAAATATGGATGATTTGCATTTGATCGTTCGTCTGCGCGCGCGCACACACACACACATATATATATATATATATATATATATATATATAGATATATATATATATATATTATATATATATATAGAGAGAGAGAGAGACTATGTGTATTTAACATCTACATAATTTTTAGGGATGAATGGAAACCACAAATTAATCTTATTTTTGTTGCACCAAAATCTCTAATCAAGATTCAAAATTGAAAATTGTTCTGTTGATCATAACAAACACATAATTACAATCACCCATTTCAAGCAAAACAAAATTCAATACCATCAATATTACAACTTAAAAAGAAATGCAAAAAGATAATTAGAACGGATCCGTATCCCACATAGGGATACGGGTTCAGATCCTCCATATCTACGCAGGATCTAAACCGGATTTTCCGATAAAAAGAGAATCAAATAGGAAGGAAACCTTCACCGACAAAAAGTCCGACGATAAGAACCACGAGACCGGTGCCGATACACTGAGTCGGGCTCATATATGTCTGTGAATATGCAGACAGTGTGATTCCTGCACCAACAACTCCAATCATCAAAGCTTTCATCTTTTCATTCATCATCTTCTTCTTCTTCGAATTCGATTGACCACACAGAAAAAGTCAACTCTTAAGTTTTTGGTAGCAATTGAAGGAAAATATATGGAATAATGAGTCAAAAACAGGGAATGGATCTTAAATCAAGAAAATGTCAACTCTTGGAAACTAAGAGGAAGGTTCATGAATTTATTAAGGGTTGTGGTGTGCCTCCTCCAACTTTCCAATGGACAAAGACTAATATATATATATATATATATATAATATACACACACATATATATATATATGTATGTATATATACACTATCTATACTGTATATTACAAAACATTTAGAAAAACAAACATATAAAAACAACTTATTAAGCATTAGGCATTATTTTATTAATTGATAATATCTTAAAATTCAAGTTTACAACTTATTAATGCGTTAATACAACTTCATAAAGCTCTACGTTTAAATATCGTAAAAGCAACCGGTAAATATGTTTAGGCATAGGATAAGCATTGAACCATACTAATACCGTATAATACTCAATAAATTATGGTTTTCGTTTTTAATGAGGTTTTACGTTGATTTTTCATTCTCGTTTACAGCAAAATTTTATTTGTTGGTTAACAAGCAAGTTGATAACGGATGATTTTAGGTATGTTCCCCTAGAATATGAATAACAGATGATTTTGGATATGTTTAACAAACTAGCTTACAAGCTAAGGGTCTGTTTTTTAGTAGCTTAATGAGCTTATTTGGACTCAAAACTTATCCGGTCAGCTATACATGACCGTTTGGTAATCACAATGATATAGAAAGTGGCTTATTCAGTAAGTTCCAGGGAGGGTTTATGCAGAAACCCAAGTTTTTTTTACAAAACTGTCCATCAAAATCAAAAAAATGCTCATTTCATCTATGAGAAAACCCTCCCAAACAAAACAAAAATAATCTACACATACAGATTAATCCACACAGACAACTTAATTCATACAAGATTTGATGGAAAATCAACCAGACAACACCTTAGTTGTTGGCTAAGAAGCTAGTTGATAACGGATAGTGTTTGATAAAAAGAACTAGCTGATAAGTTAGATGACAATATAAAATGATCTAAAAGAGCATCGTGGAAAACTAACTGAAAAACAAGGAGCATAACCAATTTTTTTTTGGAAAAAAGCCCATTGAGATTATTCTAATAAGCTAGCCCAAACATGGCCATTGATCTTAGCACACATTTGCTGATATGTATTACTACAATGCAAATATATCATGAAAGATTTCATTACCTTTTTCACTTTAATGTATCGAATCGCACTTCTTGTTGATCGTCGTTTGAGGTTTCGAGTCGAACAAGAACCGCATGAGCGTTTCTTGATCATCATCATCGGCGTCAACTAAGCTACTTGCAGCCTCTTTCCGCACTCCTTGATCATCCATCACCTTCCTCAACCTCTCGGCACCATCCCACTCGCCTTGTGAAGCATATATGTTTGAAAGTAGCACATAATCGCCACTTTCACCCCGTCTTAATTTCAGTAATTCCTCATTTGCACGTCTACCCAACTCAACATTGTTATGAACCCTACACGATCCAAGCAAAGTCCTCCAAATGATGGAATTTGGCTCGATCTCCATTTTGTCCACAAATTCAAATGCTTCATTTAACAATCCCGCACGGCCAAAAAGATCCACCATACATCCGTAATGCCTTATGTTTGGCTCAATATTATACTGGTGTTTCATGAGATTGAAATATTCTCGACCCTCTTCAACTCTCCCGGCATGGCTGCAAGCAACTAACACCCCAACAAAACTGATATCATTTGGTTTTATTTTCATTCTACGCATTTCTTTGAAGATACGAATGGCGTCCTCTGAGTGACCATGGAACGCTAAACCTCCAATTATGGAGTTCCAGGTTGTTACGACTTTTTCCTTCATACTGTGGAAGATTTTGAGTGATTTATCGATGTTTCCACATTTTGCGTACATATCTATAAGCGCGTTACCGAGTAAAATGCTCAATTCTCCTCCACCCAAATCCAAAACGGATTGATGTATCTTTTCGCCAACATCTAAGTCGCCGGAATCTGTGCAGGCTGATACGAGACTCAACATTGTCACCTCATCGGGTTTTTCTCCCAAGGGTTTCATCTCTTCGAACATCTCCAACGCCTGCTTGTGTAATCCACAGTTCACATAGCCTGCAATCATCGCATTCCATGTCACAATATCGCGTTTTGGCACCTGACCGAACAAAAGTCTGGCACTTTCCATCTCTCCTCTCTTTGCATACCCTGTAATCATCACATTCCAAGAAATCAAATCTTTCTCAGGCATTTCATCGAACACCTTCCTTGCCATCACCAAGTTCCCTCTCCTCGCATACCCAGCAGTCAAAGCTGACCACGCCACAACTTGGGTTGTAACTGAAGAATCAAATAAGGAACTCGCAATCTCTATATCTCCAGCATTAGCATGAAAATAGATAAGGGTATTCTTCGCAAAAGTATTCTCTTCAAACCCATTTTTCATAATCTTTCCATGAACAGAAAAACCAACATTAGCCCAAGAAAGCTTAGTGCAGGCCTTGAGCACAAACGGAAAAGTATAACGATCAGGCTGAATTCCCCTTTTTTCCATCTGGGTATAAAGAAAAACGGCCTTAGCTGGATTGGGGCTTTGAGCTGAGCCTCTAAGCATGGTGTTCCACATGAAAAGGTCTGGTTGGGTAATTTTATCGAACACTTGGTGTGCATAACTAATGCCGGAAGGTATAACCAATGCAGAGACATAAATAAGTTCTCTGAGGTTAAATCGATTGGTGTTGAAGCCATTGATGATCATGGACGCATGGATTTGTCTCAATTTTCTGAAGGTAGTGCATTTGCGCCATAAATTTGAACGTTGGTGGAAATTGGGGTTCTTGTCGTTCGTTTGCCTTCGGATCATCAATTCCGTTTGAATTGGGCTATTCTTTGTTTTCAATTCCACTTATAGGCCATATGCTCGCTAAGGCCCAATAGTTATTGTTATTTTTTTTTTTCTTTTTATAAAAATAATATAATCACATATATTTATACTTTCAAATTTACTTAGAGATGTTTTTGACGGATTTCGTTTCTATTTTAAAAAGTTAACGAAATGTGTCATTGTGGTTGCATTTTTTAACGATTTGGGTCCTTGTTATTAAGAGTGTATGCAAGTCGGGTTGAATGGTGATGGTGACAATGGTGGTGTCGTTGAAGGTGACTGCTGGTGGTGGTGGTGAAGGCGACAGTGGTCAATGATGGTGATGAAAAGTGAGGTGATTGGGGGTATATTTAGTGGTGTCAAAAAAAGTTCACAGTGGAATAACTCATTCGAACCAAATAAGGTTCGGGTAAAATGGTCTGGGTTATTCAAAAATCCTTAGTAAGACACATTGACGGCAGCGAAAAGCACGTTGCCTGACAAAATTAACAAGATTTCAGAAAGAATTGTCGGTTCTTTACATATTGAACTCGTCTAAAAGATTACAAAAATTGTTGATTATAACTCCAAAAGCATTAAGTGGGTCGTCAAAAGCTATGAGCGAATCGCTGGAAGTAAGTCGGTGGGCAACAACGAGAGAAGGTTGGATGCAATAACAAAACAAGGTTGTAGTAACGAGAATTGAGATTTTGAATTCAAAACACGTTCCTTTTTACCGTTGGTTGGGGGCATGTGCCCCTATGCCTATAACCTGCTCCGCCCCTGATATTGGCAACAACGACATTGATGACAACTATAAGCAGCAATTCTAGCAACAAGAATATTCTTCAAGAGCAATTTAAAGCGAGTGATTGGTAACGATTCATTTCTCTCTTCGAATGCCTTGAATCTTTTTATATAGGCATAGTTTGTAACCAATGTCTCTAATTGCCGTAACTCATGTCTTGGTGATGTAATTGGATATTACTCGTCAGTTATGTTTGGTGCATTGGTAAGACAAATCTTGGTCATAAATCTGTAGTTACAAGCGAGACCTGTAATAAATAAGAAAAACAACTGTTGTCAAGGTTACTTAAATATTAATATCAATCGTGGTTATTTGATGATAATAGCAGTCCATATTATTGACGATAGTATGTTGAGGATGTTATTGTCGTTGGTAATAATATAATTGGTTATTGTCATTAATTACGATGATCAAAGGCAATGACTGATCGAATATATCGTCATCGAGAATGATAACTGCGTCGGTTGTGTTTATAAGATTTTCACCCTGAAACTAACAAACAAAGGTGAACAAAATGGACTTTGTTTCGTTAAGAAGGTGGGTAGGGGTGTAGGGTTAGGTAGGATAGGATAGCGGTGGGAGAGATATTTTACAAATCAAACCATTTATATAAACTGTGAAAACCGTTGATTTTGTTGTTTATTTTAGTGAATTTTTTTTTCATGAAGTTTAATATGATGAAATTGTTTTAAATAATTTATTTTGAATAATTATGGACGTTATCTTCTTCATTCTATTAATTTTAGTAAACAAGTTTCATCAAAATGAGAAATACATGAAACAATTTAATTTTTACATAGAAACAAAAAATATGTGAAACATTTTCATCATGAAATGAATTATTTGAAACAATTTCATCATATTAAACAATTTCTTGAAAACATTTCACTAAAACAAAAAATGAAATCGACGGTTTTTACGGTTTGTACAATTCGATGGTACGTATCTAATAAAATAAGAGAATGAATATAGACCAATTGTTTCATTAAATACTAGCTTAAATAATTAATTTTAAAAATAAATAAATAACGCTATAAAAATAATTTAGTTATATAAAAGTTATCTGATACATTTATTCAAAATTCTACTTTTATCATATTTATGATTTTAATGCGATTTAATTTTTTATTTTTAAAAAAATATTATATATTTAAAGCATTTAAAATAAGCGTACTTAATTTTCATTTAAAGAATTCATTTTTTTATTTAAAACAATATTAAAAAAATTATAATTTTCGTCAAAATCACGTATGATTCACAATTAATTGTTTTATTTAAAAATATTTTCTTCATCACATGTGATTTAAAACTTGAAAAACAATTATTCAAATTAAATATTGAAAAGAACAAATAATTAAAATAGAATCACATGTGATGTGTAGCAAAACATATTTAAAATGTATTTTTAAGCGTAACTTTTTATTTGCACAGTAATATTTTTTATACGTAATTTTCTTTCACCGGAAAGAAATAGCTAAAAGTCGAAATAAGATACAAAAGGAGCTAAATAGTGAAGTGAAATTCCTTAATGTGATTGTTCATTTATTATTATTATTTTTTGATTAACATGAATATTCAACCCGCTATGTGAGTCGACTAATCCCAGGACGACCACTTGCTTTGCAGATAGCCCAGAGTCATCGCATTTGAATCAAAAATAAATTATTTCGTTATTAAACTTAAATTTTTATGATATCTTCAAATTTTACAGTTGATTTAATATTAACACTTATATATATATATATATATATATATATATATATTCAAAATTTTATGATATATTCAAATTTTACAGTTAATTTAATATTAACACTGATATATATATGTTTTCAAATTTTTATGATATCTTCAAATTTATATTTTATTCAAAAATAAAATCATTATTGTTTTCTTAAAAATACATAAAATCGTATTATAACATCGACGGAGACAAAAATAAAAATAGAACATTAAAATCGAGATGTATCTCGCTGCATTGCGCGGATACTCTTCTAGTAATATTATAATATTACAGTTGTAGGCACCTGTAATATCTCTTAAATCTTCAAAACCTCTGTTATCTGCATAACTATTGGAAATGCTCTTAAAAGTGATAAATATTACTTATATCCTTATTAATAAAAACTTTTCAAATTAATTTTTTCAAAGAAAGAACAATATTTCACTGAATATATTGAATATTTAAATAATATAATTGTTGTAATCTCTAAAATGGATAATTTATTAAAGTCGAATGTCACATTTTTGTAGAGATTTTGATTTTCCAGTTTTTATTTTGAAGTGAGAATTAGTTACAGTTGCTTTGCAGTCTGCAGTCTGATATTAATACAATTTTAGTTTATTTAATTATAAATAATAATGATAATTTTTGTTAGTATCTACATTATGAGATTTCGGATCATATAGTTGTCACGGAGCCCTTATGAGTTCTTTTATCTTGTCGAACATTAAAACGAAAAAAAACCGCAACTTTTGCATTTAAACATCCAAAATTTTAAGAAAAATCACACCAAACTATCCAAGGATGGTGATTTGCCTCGATCCGGTGTGGAACCCAACTCACCCGACCTGAACGGGGACAGTGATTCCCCGCTAAAACGGGTCCCGAGGCCAAGGATGCCCAGTATACTCAAATCGGGGTCGGGGGCGGTTACTCAAATCGGAGTTGGGGAGGAGATTCCTGGTAGACTCAAACTAGCGTATATTCTTCATGGGATTTGATCAGTGACCGGGACGAGGGGCTGTTACTAAAAACCGGAGTCGGGGATTACAAAACCTGTCCTGTTGGCATGCCTAAGACTATCGTAGATTGAATCTTTAGATTGGTTTTATGGGTCTAATGAAAAATGATTGGTTTCAACAATATGGAATGATATATTATATATATTTATATATGTAATATATAAAAATTTAATAATATATTGTAAGCTTATTTTTTATGTTTAACCTTATATAAATATAATGTATTATAAAAGAAATTCTGCAAATGATTAGAGAATAATTAATCTATACAATATTATAAATTATTTTGATTTTATCTATTAAAAGTTCTTATATATTATATTATTTACCAATGTTTTGCTATGAAGTTTTAAATATAAAAAAAAATGGTTTCATAGGTCTCATGAACACAAGTTGGTCTCACATGATTCTAAGTCTATATGTATTACATTATTTAACAGGGTTGGGTTCAAGTGAGACCAAAGGTTTTTCGTGAGACCCGTAAAACCAATTTATGTTCATTGATCAACTTTATAAGCTAATGATCTAATGGTCTAAAGTTGCACGGTGACAATTTTGTGATTATGAATGTTCAGATTGTAGATCTAATCCAAGGGCTGAGAATTGGTCTTACGGGTCTCACGAAAAACCTTTGGTATTACATGATCCCAAGTCTTATTTTTTAACATATACAACTTAATTACTACTACATATATGTGTATAACTTATTGTAAACCTTTTTTTTTTTGTCAAGCTATCTTTATTGTAAATGTTTTAAGGGGTTGTTTGGTTGGTTTTCCAATAAATCCTGCATGAATAAAGTTGTATGTATAGATTAATCTGTCTATATATATTAAAAAAGTTTTTATTTAAAAGGGTTTTTCATAGGTGGAATTAAAGATGGCCAAAAATAGATCCCGACCAAAAACCCATGACTCGGTTCACCTTAGCCATAACCAGTACCGGGCTAGGCCCAAACAGGTCCCGTTTAGTATTGGAATACTTATAAAAACTTGAAAACTTAAAAAAAGCTTTAAGTTTTTGGTAACTAACTTGAAATTTTTGTAAAAAAATTGAAAACTTGATATATAATTTATAAAAAAACCTTATTTTTTTAGAAAAATCGAGCATAACTAGTCCCAGGCCAAGCTGTAAATTTTCATTAAAAAACGTAACCAGTTCAGGTCTGCCAGACCCAAATCAATCCTTACCGGTCCCGGACCAAACCGAGCCTATTTTGGCCATCTCTAGATGGAACACGTGTGTTTTTTAATTGGGAAGACAAGTTTGGAAAACGTAGCTTTTTGCATAAAACTCCTTTAGAAGCTTATTAGATAAATCATTTTCTATACCGTTAAGTCACTATCAAACAACCATGTATAATTAATCCAATAAATTATGAGTTTCATTAAATTCATTAAACTGCTAACAAAATACCTAGATACTCTCATGGTTGAAATTTCCAAAAAAT